GACACGAAGGTTTCAACCTGGTCTCTGAGCTCAGCTATTTCACCTGCGGCGGAAGTCTCCGCCAGCTGGTCGTCTGAGATGGAGACGTGGGGAGCATAGGCTTCCCTCTGCCCCCTCTCGCGAGGAGTGCTTGGCCTCTGAGAGGCTGTGCGCGGGCTCGACCTACTCTCGCCGCATGGGCTTGGGGCCCCACGACGGTGGCGCGCGGACGAGCTGCGACTAGGACCGTGCGTGTGTGTGCGTGGTGTCTCATCCGATGATACCTTGGGATACTGCGTCTGCGGCTGTGCCGCCACTGGTCTACTGAGTTCCTCGAAGGTGGCTACGTGCTCCGCAACAGGAACGGTCGCAGGGCTGGGGGAACCAGCACCTGAGGTCCATCGGCGGTTAGCGCGAAAGCGCCCTGGAGTATCAGGACCAGTGAGGCTTTCGCCTCACGCAGTTGGGATTGCTCCCGACTGAGGAGGAGATGGAGGATCGAAGGTAGGCGTGTGAAACTCCTTCCTTCCTGTTCCTACTCCTTCTCCTGCCCCCCCGCGGGCGGCGCTGCGGTGAAGTTCAGCAGCTAGCCGCGCCTCGGGTCCGTCGGAGCTGGGGGGGGGGGGGGTACCTGGGACACCAACACAGTCCGCACTAAGGCTCTCCAACTCATCACCGAGCCGTCGCGCCGTCGGAGAGCTCGGACGCGAGGCCCCGATGGACCCCTTACGGCGCATGCGCCGCTTGGGTTCCATCGAGGCCGCGTGCGAGGTCGCGACGCGGGGTTCGATGAACAGTGAGCTTTAAAGGGCTGATAACCTGTGTATGGGGTTGAAGTACAAGGGTACAGAACCCCTGATCCGTTGGTAGAGGGAAGGAGGGATAGATGGATGTCTTTCCCTCCTGCACGATCAAAGGTCTGATCGATCTGTCCCAATACCTGAGCCCAAACGGCCAGGCGCAGGAGAGGTGAGGATATGGAGTATATATGAGGGTATTACACGGGTTCGATTCACAAGAAACGAGGAGGCGGACGAGGAGAAGGGGGAGGAGGAGGAAGGGGAGGAGAAGGGGGGGGAGCAGGAGGAGGAGGAGAAACAAGGCACGATGAGGAGGAGGAGGAGGAGGAGCAGGAGGAGGGGAAGGAGGAGAGGACTTGCGTATATCCTGACAACGCAAGGACGGGAAAGAAGCGCCGAGCCGAGCCGAGCTAATTGGTCGGCGGTCTCCTGATCGCAATGTGAGTTATAAGAGTTCCTTTGCCAACTCGAAAACCCAAGTGTTAAAACCCACTAATTTTAATGTTTTTCCATTATGTGACCGAATGCGGCGTCAATGTAGGATAAATTTTAAAACATCACTGCAGCATGTATAGATTTCTATCAAGCGGGGGATGCTAACTCGAAAACCACGGGTTGAAAACCCAATGCAAAACTTCATTCTCTGAACAGAAGAGGCGATCATCTGAATGTGGAATATACAAAACGCATATACACCATGCAGCGCGCGCGGGCGGGGCACCCGCGCGCGCGCCGCCCTCCACGCGCATGCGCATGTTGGTACAACGGGGGCGGTGTTAACTCGAAAACCAAATGGTGAAAACCCAATGTAAAAATTCATTCTCCGATCGGAAGAGGCGATCATCGGAGTGTGGAATGTATAAAACGCATATACACCATGCAGCGCGCGCGCGGGCGGGTCACCCGCGCGCGCGCCGCCCTCCACGCGCATGTAATTTTGATACAACGGGGCGATGTTAACCCGAAAACCCAATGGTGAAAACCCAATGTAAAACTTCATTCTCTGATCTCGAGAGGGGATCATCTGAATGTGGAATATGCAAATTCGCATATACACCATGCAGCGCGCGCGCCGCCCTCCGCGCCCTCGTATACATATTGATATACAACAGGAGCGATGTTAACTCGAAAACCCAATGGTGAAAATCCAATGCAATAAATCATCTCTGATCGGAAGAGGCGATCATCTGAATGTGGAATATACAAAACGCATATACACCATGCAGCGCGCGCGCGGGCGGGTCACCCGCGCGCGCGCGCCGCCCTCCACGCGTATGTACATTTTTATATACAACAGGGGCGATGTTAACTCGAAAACCCAATGGTGAAAACCAAATGTAAAACTTCATTCTCTGATCTCGAGAGGGGATCATCTGAATGTGGAATATACAAATTCGCATATACACCATGCAGCGCGCGCGCCGCCCTCCGCGCCCCCGTATACATATGGATATACAACGGGAGCGATGTTAACTCGAAAACCCAATGGCGAAAACCCAATGTAAAAAGTCATTCTCTGATCGGAACGGGCGATTATCTGAACGTGGAATGCATATGCGCCAACATAATGCGGCGGCATCGAATTATCGCCCATGCGGTCGTTCAACGCGCGATCCAACAAAAAAACCAGACATACGCAACAACAACAAGACATGAGACAGAAAACCAAGACATGCTCAAAAAAACAAGACAACGTCAACAACATCACAGAATGGCGCGATTTTCAATACAAAACAGCAGTCTTGAAAAAAATGCAGCTGGAGGATGTCAGGGTCTCTTCCCGGTGGACTTCTTGACCCACCCCCTCCAGCTCTCGTTGGCTTGCGCTGCCTCCGCCTCGCTGCACTTCCTGAGCTGTTCCTGGGCCTCCTCAGCCGCCTGCCCTTCCTCCTCCTTGCTCCATCCTGGCCAGCTTCCCAGCGCCTGCTCGGCGCCGCCAGCCGGCTTGCCTTGCTTCGGCCAGCTAGCTTCAGCATCGCCCCTTCGTAGGTCCTCCCGGGCATGACCCCGCGCCTTCCTGCCCCTCTTGTTGCCGTTGGCTGCCGCGCTCCCCAGCCTTGCTAGCGCCGCCATCCTGCCAGCCCGCGTTGTGGTCGCGTCACTTGCCTGCGCCTGTGGTTGCGCTGCCACTCTGCCTCGAAGTCCACCTCGTCCATATTGGCCCCCTTCGCCCCCCTGACCTTCGCCTTGGGCAGGCCGTGCAGTTCGCGCAGGTAGTCCTCCGCCGCCTCGAACCACTCCTCGCGCGCCTGCCGAGCGTCTTCCGTGGGCCTCCAGCTGACCTTCTCGGGCGGAGGCGCCCTGACTGGCGGGGGCATCTCAGGGTCGATCTTCCACGGCTCGCAAGAGCCCTGCCCCTCTGAGCGCCACCTCCATCGGCCGATGGGGGCTGCGCGCCAACTCGTCGAGAACCCGCACCTCCTTGACCAGCGACGCGATCACCTCCGAGGCCGCGAAGTAGTCGGACCCCCCTCGCCCATCGCGGCCCCCCGCTGGAGGCCACGACCGCCCAGTTGCGCCTGGGCCACTCGCGCGCCATGCCGGGGTTCATGTCCCCGTCTCCTCCGAGATGCCATAGGCGCCGCTGCTTCTTCAGCTCCGCCCCTATCTCCTCCAGCAGCCCCATGTTGTCCTCGAGGCCCACCGAGTGCCCCAGGTAGAGCGAGGCGATGATCATTTTCACGCGGGGGCCCGAGTCCACCTCCGCGGCCGCCCACCTGCGCGACCAGCGGGGGAGGGACCTCGACTGCATGCTGCATCTCGTCCTGGTCGCCAGCGCCGCCGCGCCCCCGCTCGACTCGAGCGGCCCTGGCCCCGCTGGCGTCGCCTTGCCGACCAACGCCTTCCAGGCCCGCTCTCGGGCCCAACATCCGATCCTGCTCGCTGCCGCCTCCCGGCGATGCCCCCGCGGCATCGCGTGCTCGGGCAGCTGGGGCCCGTTGCCCGCGCCCCCCTCCAGCAGGCGAGTCGCCGAGCTCCAGCTGTTGGCGCTTGCCGTCCAGATGCGGAGCTCCCAACCCTGCTCTCGGACCGCCTGGTAGTCCTACTGCCTCTGCCGCTGCCTCCTCTCCTTGCCTTGCTTCGCTGCCTTGGGCCCTCTGCCCCCCCCCGTCGCCCGCGCTTTCGCGCAACCTCCGCGGCCGTGGCTCGCCTGGCTCGCGCGCGAGCGGTTCGCCGATGCCTCCCCCTCGCGGTCGCTGAGCTCGCTACTAACGAGGTCCATCCGAAGTCCGGCGCCTCGGGTCGCAGCCCCCCCCTCGCGGAGCGGTCGCGGGCCTGCCCCTGGCCCCGATGGGCCGCGCCAGGGCGCTCGGCGAGCTGCCCCCCCTCCGCCCCATCGAGCCCCCGCTCGCCTCCGCCGCCAGCATCTGCCTTCCCCTGCCTGACCTGTCGGCCCCCTCGCTCGTCAGCCGCGCCTGCCAGGTGGCGCCCTGCTCGATCGCGTGATCGCGAGCGGCCACAAGCTGCGCCAGCTTGTCGCCCATGGCGCCGTCGCCGTCGCGCTGCGCCACTCGGCCCCGGCCCGCCCAGCAGCTCCCTGAACCCCTCCCCCCCTCACCGGGCGGAGGACCTCCCAGTGATTCGATACCTCTTGGATCAGCCGCTCGCGCTGCCTGTCGCCCCACAGCGCTCCTAGGCACGCCACGAAGACCCTCCCGTCGGGTGCCTCGTGCCCCCGCTCCTTCTCGCCGTGCTCCTGAGCCACGTCCTCGAGCGCCCTCCTGCCGATCGCCGACTGCGCCCGCTCGCGGTGCTCGGGCAGGTTGAAGAGCTCCATCATGTATGCCACGCACCACTCCATCCAGCTTGGCTCACCCACTTCGCTGTCGTCGAGGACTGGCACTCAGTCGCTTGCGCGCTTCCTGTTGGCCCGCGCTGCCCTCATCTCGTGGCCGGTGTCCCTGGTGATAATCGGGGGCCTGCCCATGGCCTGCCTCGTCGCGCGAACCTCCTCTCCTCCTCCTGCGACCTCGGCGTCTGCGGGGTGCACCGCTGGGCCCTCTCCCTCCAGATCGCCTTCCGCGACGTCCTCCACAGGGCCCTCTGCCTCGCGCCTGTCCGCCGCGACCGGCGCTCAGCACGGCCGATCGCACCCCCCACTCCCCCCCAGAAGCCTCTCGCTGCGCCCCAGGCGCCATCCCCGTGGGGCCCGTCGCGCCTGGGAGAGGAGCTGGGGGTGAGGGACCCCGGCTAGCGCTGAGGTTGCCGCCGCGGCCGCACCTCGCCACCTCCCGGTCGCCGTCTGCAGCGTCGACCGCTGGGCCCCCGCACTCGCTGTCGCCAACAGGTGCAGTCCGCCGGGCCCTCATCCTCATCGTCGCCATCTGAGAGGTCACCGCTGGCCCCTCTTCCTCCCCGCCCAGCTGAGAAGGCGCCGCGCTGGCGGCCCTTTCCCCTCGCTCGCGCCTCTTCGCGCCCGACCCCTTGTCGGCCTTGCCGAACGCGACCGCGGTGGAGTTGCCATTCACGGAGACCTTGCCGCTTTTGCGCCCTGCCGCCTTAGCGCCCCGCTGCCAGCTCGGCCACTCGTCAGTCGGCAATTCGCGCCCCCGCTCCTGCAGCCTGCCACCCTGCCACCCTTGCCGGTTGACTGCCGTGGTGTTGTGGCTCCAGCCGTAGAGCGGGTCGAACCGCGCGTCGTCGAAGCGCCTGCCCGCCCTCGCTGCAGGCACCGCAAAACCGCAAAACCTAGCCCCCAGTCCTCCACCATGTTGTCGATCCAAAACTTCGAGGGGCTGGGCTCCGCTGCGTGGCTGGGCTCGCTCAGCGCGAGAGTGGCCCCCTGCTCCTCTTGCTGCCTGCCGCGCAGCTCCCCGGCGTTGATCGCCACCGTCGTCAAAAAATCGGGTCGAACAGTGCTGCTCGCAGCGGGTCCCGACTCAACCTGAGCGTCGAGCTCCCCGCAAGGCCAGAGGCAGCTACCATCAGCGCCGCCACTTTTGCCAGCGCCCTTACCGTCCTTGCCCACGGCCTTGCTGACCTCCGCCCGCGACTCCTCCCTGCGCGCCCGCCTCGTCTCGTCGTCGATAGGCTGCGGCGCTTCAGGGGCGATGGGGGCGGCGGGCTCGGCGGCCGCCGAAGCTGCGGCCTCGCCTGGGGGGGCCCCCCCAGCCGCCGCGGCCCCTCCTCCTGCGCCTGCCTGAGCAACCAACTTCCGTTTGTTGCTGGCGCCGTTGGCCCTCGACCGAGCCTGCTCGACCTGCTGCTTGAGCTCCTCCTGCTTCGCCTCCGCCAGGTGGAGTAGCTGTTGGCGCGCCGTCGCCGCCTCCAGCTTGGGCTGCTGCACCTGCTCGAGGGCCTCCTTCCCTTCGCGATGGCACTGCAGCAGCTCCTGCCTGAAGCGCTTGCAATCCTCGCCTGCCTCGGTGTCGTCGACGTCGTCAAGTTCTTGCAGCAGGTCCGCGAAGACTGCGCACTCCAGGAACTTCTCCGCCGCCGCCGCCCTGGTCGCGTCCTCCTCCCTGCCAGGTCCTCTTCCAGCCTCCGCGTTGGCCTCGCGCGAGCAGGATTCGTTGGCTTTCGCCAGCTCGGACTTGGTTTCGCCGCAGGCGTCAGCCGACGCGTCCAGCTCGGCCTCCACCTGCGTCATGTACGCGCGGGCCGCGCGCAGCTTGGTCTCCTTGGCCTCCAGGACATGCCACTGCTGCATGGCCGTGCCCCGCACCTCCCTCCACCTGAGGAAGCAGTCGCCGCGCGCCAGCGACGACGACGACGACGACGACCACGACGACCACGACACGACGGCACGACGACGACGACGACGACGACGACGACGACGACGACGACGACCACGACGACGACGACGACGACGACGACCACGACCACGACGACGACGACGACGACGACGACGACGACGACGACGACGACGACACGACGACGACGACGACGACCACGACGACGACGACGACGATGACGACACGATGACGACGAGCACGACGACGAAGGCGACGACGACGACGACGACGACGACGACACGACGACGACGACGACGACGACTACGACGACGACGACGACGACGACGACGACGACGACGACGGCAACGACGACGACGACGACGACGACGACGACGACGACGGCCAAGACGACGACGACCAGGACGACGACGACGGCAACGACGACGACGACGACGACGACGACGACGACGACGACGGCAACGGGCCCAGCCTCGATGATAGTCCTGATGTCCTCGTGGCCGCCAGGGGGGCTGGCGGGGGCAAAGACACGTGAGAGCCGGGGCGCCACTCGCCGCCTCGAGAGGACGTGGCGGCGCGGCAGCCGATCGAGCCGAGCCGACCGAGCGCCACCAGCGACGACGCGGCCGAACCGGCCGAACCGCGGACTCCCCAGACCTCTGGATCTCCGACGACCCTGAGTTCCTGGCGTCGCAAGTTTGTCACAGCGGGCGATTTTGCTGTCTCTGCTGGGCTGGAAGAAGGCCGCATAAAGATTGGGTCCACTGCTCCATTCGAGCATGGCTGTGGCGATGTCACAATTTTCGCGACGCTGCGGCGGCCAGGGCCCTGAGCCTGCCCGGTCGTGCGTGAGCGGGGCGGGGCGGGATGGCGAGCGGAGGTCCAACGCGCTGGCTGCCCCCCTCTGCCGGACTCTGCTGGCGCGTTTTGCACGCGCGCCCTGGCTCGCCTGCCTCCGACGAGCGGCGGAGGGGACGAGGGGAGCTCCAGGTCCGATTAGATGGGGTCGGAGGATCGCGCCGCATCTCCGATGCATCGGCGCTGCGACTTGATGTGGAGCCCGATTTTCTCCACGCCGACGGCGCCGATGCGTCGCCAGTGCATCGGCGATGCGATGCGGGGCGGTCCTCGGACACCATCCATGTTGGAGGCCCCCGGGAGCCCAGCCCCAGAGACTGCGGACTGAGAGGGGCGGTGACAGAAGGAGAGCCCTCGCCCACACGGCCGGGCGGCGAGGGCGGAGGGGCGCCGGCGCCCTCGCGCCCCCCGCGCGATGCCCTGCCCCTCCACCTCTCTCCCTCTTCGCCCTCTCCCAGAGAAAACGGGGCGATTGGGGACCCCGCGGGGGCTCCCACGCTGGTGCCGCAGGTGAAATTCCCCCTGTGGGGCAGGATCCGCGTACTCCTCTCCGACTACTCCCCTCCTACTTCTCATTCTCCTCTCCTCTCCTCCTCATCCTCCACCTCATGCGACTCGAACTAGATTTTCCTCCTCCTCCTCCTCCTCCTCCTCTTCCTCCTCCTTCTCCTCCTCCTGAGAGGAGGGAGGCCCGCCAGCCCCCCGCGCGCGCGTCCTCCCAGACGCTGAGCGTGCCGCCTGGGAAGAACGCCGGGCCCTTGCGGGCGCCCTCGGCGCCTGGCGATGGCGACGTCGCCGTCGCAGCGGGATTCTGGAAGGCTCCCTGCTCCTCCTGGGGGACCCACAACGGTGCCGTGACAGACCATGCGGTGACATCCGAATCCCATAAGATCTCAACGCACGGTCCGTCACAGCACAGCTTTGGGAACCCTGGAGGCCGCAGTCGCCCGAGACAGAACAGCCCGAGTCCCAAAACCGTGCGGGTTCCCTGAATCCGCACTGACTCACCACACGGTGTGGTTACCATACCGTCTGGGGGCTCCCGATCCTACCCTCCCCAGGCATCCAACGTCTTGAAATGCCCCCGGCGCGACCCCAATTAGGGGAAAGCTTCCAATTGCATGGGAGCATTGCTTGGCATTGCTTGGCGGTGCCTGGCCTTGCTTGGCAGTGCTTGGCAGTGCGTGGCAGTGCTTGGCATTGCTGGGCATTGCTTAGCATGAGGCGGCCAGGGAACCCGGGGAACCCCGGGAACCCGGGGAACCCGAGGAAGCTGGGGAACCCGAGAAAGGTCTGGGGAACGGGCAAAGCTGGGTCCCGAGACACCAACTCTTAACAGAGTGAGAACACTTCAGACAGACAGACAGAAGCCTTGCGTCCAGGTGGACGCGTTGGCAGGAAAAATACAACTGACTGAACGTCACTCGAAACGCTCGAAGCACAGAAGTGTGGCCAAACGCCACACGAACACCTCAGGCAAGCCCAATTGGGGAAACAGGCCGAGGCCGAGGTGTTCCCCCCGTGCTCGGCCTCCGAGGGCCGTCTGGCTCTGGGTGAGAAGCCGACGCCGGGGGACTTCGGGGGACCTCCCTCGCCCTGGAGGAGGACGAGCGTCGGACGTCCGGGCCCCCTGCCTCCCTTCCTCTCCCCGCTCCCCCTCCCCACTCCTTACAATTGCACCATGCGTGTGAACGCGACGCTCCTATACCTCCCCTGATGACGTCCGGAAGATGTCTGGTGCCCCTCCGCTTTCTGTTCTTTTGCACACAGGGTTCCCGGAAATTTGATGTTCGATTGGGCTTGTTTTCAGAGTGTTGCTCCCGTTGAAGCGCTGGCCTAATTTCGGGCTTTCGCTCGTTCCGAATCGTGCTCCCGCTGCAGCGCTGGCCTCATTTCCGCGCTTCCGCTTGTTCCGAATAGTACTCCCGCTGCAGCGCTGGCGTCATTATTTCCAGTGCCAGGCCACGGCATGGTTTTCGGTCCTCCCAAATAGGCCCCAAAATCTAGAAAATGCCTGCCCGAAAAGACCATCGGAAGTCATTATACATTCGGTGTCGATTCCTTGATGTTTGGGGCCGCAGAAGCCCACACACACACACACACACACACTTTGGGGCGTCGCCACGCCATACTATGGCATGCTACGCGTTGATCTTCAACATCATGCTATGCCGTGTAATGCTAAGCCATGCTGCCACCTCCGACTGTGCGAATAGAGAGGAGATCTACGCCATGGTACGCGATGGGACGGAGGGGTAGCCAGAGGAAGACGCGGGGAGAGGGGCTACAGGAGAAGGGGGGGTCGGCTCCAGCTCGACGAGGCCCACAAGAGGTTTCTGCGGGAGCTGCTGTCAGGGCGTGCGGGACCTGAAGAGGCCCGCAGCCCGAGGACACCCACTCGTAAAGGCACGAGGGGGGGGAGGAGGATACGGACCGACGGACACGCTGTCAGAAGATCCGAAGACCTCGCCCTCAAAAGGGCGGCACAGAAAGGCATCGGCCCTGCAGCTGGGAAATTACAGGCAGCGCAGCGCCAATGGTGCAACACTGGATGGGAGGAGAACGGGGAGCATGCCAATGGTGACAAAGTATGGTGCAGCACTTAGCGGTAATAGTCCGAGGGGGAAGAGGACAAAAAAGAGCAGCAGCGACAGCTGCAACAAATGCACAAGGATCGGTAGCAGCAAGGGGCCGAGGCTGATCCCCATCTTCTGCCAGAAAAGTTCAGTCAATAACCCAAGCTTGCTTGTGGTGCCGCAAAAATGCTGGAGGACCAGGTGGGCCAGGAAAGTTTGCTCCGTGACCACGACTGGGACCCACGCAAGAATTCACCGCCCGAATTCGGTTGACCAGGATCCAGGAAATACTGTTTACCAAACGACCCTGAGTCAATCGTACATCCAGGAGAACCAACCCTTCACCAGCAAAAGCAACGCTTAGAAAACAAACCATAAAAACTGCTAAACAATCTGAACGCCAGCCTGGCCTCTGGGGGAACAGCCACGAGCCGACACTCGTGGGCCACATACGGCAATGATTCCATTGCTTGAACTGCGTGAGCGAGGCGGCGGTTCCAGGGAGCGTCGTAGACAGTTCCCCAATCAGAGCGTGCCTCTGTAGGGATCCTAGCGGATTCATATGGTTAGGTTAGGTTTGCCGCCGATTTTCGCCGCACGACCGGGTGCCCGGGTGCCCAGAGGTGCCCGGGGCCCGGGTGCCCGGGGGGGGCCCGGCGGTGCCCGGGTGCCCGGGTGCCCGGGTGGGTGCCCGGGCGTGCCCGGGGGTGCCCGGGGGTGCCCGGGGGTGCCCTATATAGCCCTATAGCCCTAAGCCCTATAGCCCTATAGCCCTATAGCTTTATAGCCCAATAGCCCACTAGCCGTATAGCCCTACAACTCTATAGCCCTATAGCTCTATAGCCCTATAGCTCAATAGCCCTATAGCCCTATAGCCCCCTAGCCCTGATTGGGGCTTTTCTCCGGTATCATGAAATTAGAAGGGTTTTGATATGAGCGGGGATGGGGGTTAGTAGGCCGATCTAGGGATTGTTCAACACGGGGCCCGCGGAGGTCCGCAAACCCTTCTTGGGGACACATGTTGTTCATCCTGGGCCGCATTTTGAAGGCTCCAGCGCTCGAAAGCGGGCTCCGAGGGCCGAAAACGATAGAAACATCAGTGTTGAGCTTGCCACTGTAGGGGTCCTAGCGGATTCATATGGTTAGGTTAGCTACGTCGCCAACGGCACGCCGGGGTGCCTGGGTGCCCGGTAGACCTATAGCCGTATAGCCCTATAGCCTTATAGCCTTGTAGTCCTATAGCCCTGTAGACCTATAGCTCTATAGCCCTATAGCCCTGAAGCCCTATAGCCCTCTAGCCCTAGAACCTTTTAGCCCAGTAGCCCTATGACCCTATAGCCCTGTAGCCTATAGCCCGATAGCCCTATAGCCATATAACCATATAGCCCTATAACCTTATAGCCCTATAGCCCTATATCCCCATAGCCATATAGCCCTATAGCCCTATAGCCCTATAGCCTTATCGCCTTATAGCCTTATAGCCCTATAGCCCTATAGCCCTATAGCGCCAAATGACAATAGCCCTATAGCCCTGTAGCCCTATAGCCCTATAGACTTACAGCCCTATGGTCCTATAGCCCTATAGCCCCGTAGCCCTATAGCCCTAAACAAAAATCGGATTGGGGCTTTTCTCCGGTATCATTTTCAATCCATTAGATGTCGGGTCAGCTGCCCCACACCACTGGTTCACTGGGCTGACCCACGCCACCTGGTCCCAGACTGGCTGACCCGTGCCACCGTGACACCGGGTCAGTTGGGCCAGCTGAACCCACACTACTTAAGCAGACCACTGGGTCAGCCGACCAACGCGCAGGACACCTGGTCAGCAGGTCACCAGGTCAGCGTCAACATGTCAGCTGACCTACACAAAAAGGGTCGCTGGGTCACTAGGTCCATCAGGTGACCTGACCCGGTGACCCAGTGACCATCACTGGGTCATGGGGTCACCCAGTGAGTTGAGCAACACAAGTGGGTCACTGGGTAACCATGTCAGCTGACCCAGACGTCTCTGTATTTTGCATGCACTATCGTCAACTCTCTACCCCCTCGTCTGCTTGATCTACTATATCCCCATGCCCTCTGCATGTTTTTTTGTTCTCTTCTCCAAACCATGACCTTTGGTACACACTCTCTACGAATGGCTGAAAGCTATACACATGTCTCATACTCTTTGTCATCTCCTCTCTGCTCTCGATCCCTTATCCCCTGCCCCCACTCTACGGACTTCCTGCTTTCCACTTGGCCACCACTTCGCCACCCTTACGTGTTGTACCCTTTGTGTGTATACACTTGTTTCATTCTCTAACCCCACCCTCCTGTTTCTACACTGGTCTCCGCACTGTGTCTCCAATTCTGTACGCTCACCTTTCTGTTCTCTCCTCTCTCTATTATATTATGTACCCTCTACTCAATCAGACTAGGGGCCAGCAAGGCCATGGGTCAACGCAAGTCACCAGGTGCCATTAGGTCACTGGGTTACTCAGCCCCACGTCACAAGGTCACCAGGGCCAACTTGAAGTCACCAGGTAACAAGGCCACAAAATCACTTGGTTTCAAAACCACCGGATCACTGGTGGGTCGCACATCACCGGTTCACAAGGGCACGGGTCACCGGGTTCACGGCACTTGGTCACGGGTCCTGGGTCACTGGGTCACTGGGTCGCTGTGCCCCCCGAAGACCCAGCGCAACCCTGTAACATCTGGTTCACTCTCGATCAGAAAACCAACGTCACCAAACGAGAAAATCTAACAACTGTGGTGTTTCGCCGTTTTCGGAAAACGACCTCGGACGAGAACCTGACCCTGCGGAAAGGGTCAGAAGATCCAGGGCACGTGTCTTGCAACAGAAACAAGGCACCAAATGTCTCGGCCGATCCCGTCGCCTTCCTACCGTCGTCTGTGGGTGGCCCTGGGCAAGACTCACTTTTGCTGCGCGGCCTGCCGACCCACGCCTGCGAGGCGACAGCAGCAGCCTGCGTGCCTGGGCGTGGCCCGCGCGCGCGCCCCGAGAGCCGCGCACCAAGGATCACTCCGGCGAGGGGCCACTCTTGCGCGCAGCCGATGTCCCCCCCACCACCACCTCGAGCGGGCGCCCTCGGGCAGGGGAGCCCCCTCGACCCGGCGCTGTCCCCCAGCAGCACGGCAGCCCCCCGCCCCCGTCCCCAGGCGCACCTCAGCATCGGGACATCTCTTCACGGCGCG